TATATTTGTTTAAAAGGTCAAAGCCTTTTGGTTTTAAAACTATTAATGATCTGACATTTTAAGAGTTCTGACTTTTGACTGCTCTTGCCAATCTCTCCCCTGGCCTGTGTCCTAGCCTGGCCTCTCAGGACTGTCACCTCCTTAAAACTGGGGTTAAATTTGGAATAGCTAATGCATATTGAGAAAATAATTTGAATGTTTTATTTGGTTTTGCATATTACCCAAACTCATCTTGCATAATAAGTTTATAAAAGGCATGTGTGCTATGTTTTGTTTATTCTACAAATTTTCAGCCAGCCCACACAAATTTTTGACACTGCTGACAGGAAAATAAAATTTTTTGCCATATTTGCTTTTTAACTGTAGTGGGACCTGCATAGCATGAAAAATGCTGATAGTTGAAATTGAATCCTTTCATACCTCACATTTTGTATAACCTGTGCATAACCTGCAATGTTGGAGACATTGACATGCAGAAATCAGAAGTGCCAGGAACATTTCTGATCCCTACAGACCAGGAACAGGTCTGTAGGGATCAGAAGTAGGTGGCTGTTGGGGTTCAGGAAGTTCTGGGCTAAGTTCCCCCCAATATTACCTGCAAATATATACACTGTTCAGTGCAAGCAGGTTGCAGGGATTTAGTTTTGTGGGGTTTGTGGCAAGGGAAGTGGTGGTTTTTTTTTTTGTTTTGTCAATACTGTGTTGCTCATGAGTAACCTGATGGTTAAGTTTTTCAGGGTAGTAGTTCTCTCTGAAACTCAGGAGGTTGCCAGAGGATCCTCACTTTTGCACCGGGGCTGCTGACAGCTTTTTATACCAACAAATAATGTACATATCTGAGATCTGTACTGTAAATCTGACGGCTACAGATGGTGTTATATTTTTAAAGATCAAAGTGAATAATGTTAGCTCCTAAATGTTTGAAATTTCCTTTGTATTTTTAACTTGCAGCAGAAGAAATGTGTCATTCCATTCTCTCATTGGCTGCTAGGAGATCCATGGGTGCCAGGAGCTGTGTCCCCCAGTTCCTGAGAGAGCTGCTGCCTGTGTGCAAGCAGCAACCAAGGCACTCTGCTGATACTTCTGTTAGTCTATTAGAATCACCAGAAAATGGGAATCTGCTTCTGTTCAGGTTGTCTGATGTAAACTGAGTGGGGGCTGGGGCTGGCTCCAGCCATTCCTCTCTGCCCAGCACCTTCCCTTGCCCAGCTGCAGCTGTGGGGTCCCTGGGAGCACAGGGGCTGTGCTTGCCCTGGAACCCCTCTCTCCTGTTTTTAATACGCTGTCTTTGGTGCTCTTGACCACATTTAGTGACTTTTTGTCTTTTGGATGGTTTGCCCTAGAAGGAGGCTGGTAAGATCAAACCCATGTAAACGTGGCAGTGCTGTTGCCAGCCTGGTGTTCTCAGCACAGGCAAGTCAACACCTGCACTGAAAACCCAGTGTGGGCATTGCTTTGCATCTTTCTAATCTCTCACAGAGCAAATTGCTTATCCTTTAATTGCTTTTAATTTTTACATCCTTAAGTTCCATTAAAGACGTGCAGCCTTGTATGATCCATCTGTTGGCACCCTTTTCCTTGCAGTCTCGTGGAGAGCTCAGAGCTGAGGGTGTTGTTGCCCCAGGTGCTCTGGCAGCAGCCTGGGTGGCAGCGTGTCCCAGCACAGGGCACAGCTGTGTCCTGCACGTGGTGGTGGCCACCAGGGCAAGCAGGGCCCTATCGTTTGCTTCTGACGTTACAGCTGGTAGAATTCCTTATTTGATCCTTCAGGCAGTAGATCAAAAAGAGTTATACAACTTGTTCTTTAAACTGAACTGATTGGCTTTTTTTTTTTTTCCTCCCCTAGTGTAAGTGGAAGAAAAGCCTCAGGGGAGAGCATTTGAATAGGGCATGGGAAAGCATATCGATAATTACATGCATGGATTAGTGCACAAAAGCACTCCCCTCCAAGGATTTGCTTAGTGCTGTGGCGTTTGAAATAATGGAGTGTTTAATCATATTATTTTGCAATACTGAGGCTTTGATTACGCCACTGATTGAAATCAGCTTTTCAGATTGCTTTGTGTGAAGATATCCTCATCAGCCATGCAAATTCTTATAGCAGGGGAGGAGAAGAAAGTCCTAAAGATGCTGCCCTGGTGGTGTCAGTGGGTTTTACATGCACACACATGGTCTTTCACTCCAGTCTTCTGTTTGCAGGTATGGTGTGTTTTGATCATATATCCTCTGACATTTACTCTTCATTTTGTAAGTAGATATGAAATAGCCCATACAACCTCAAAGTACCCCGAGCCTTCTGCCATGCAGAAGTACAAAGGGTTAAAAGTAGTAATAAAGATTCCACTACTGCATTGAAGGAATTTTCTGCTTGTTTATGAAGGCATAATAAATTCCTTCCCAAGGCCAGCTGCATGGGTAGACCTTGGTCCATGCAGGCATGCCATGATCCAGAGCTGGGCATCTGGGACATCCCCTTGTGCCTTGTCTGTGCCAGGATGGGACTGCAGGGAGGGAAGGGAATGTGCTCCTGCTCCTGAGACCTGCTCTCTCCACTCCAGGGTTTACACTTTCAATTTACAAAGGCATTTCTCCCTGAAATATTACAATGCCAGCATTGTGCCACAGAGGGAATGCTGAGAGCATTAACTCCGCTGGAGCTGGGGTGAATACAGAGGATGTAATCTTTAACCAGTCCAGGGCAGCAGGATGGCTCTGGGGGGCTGTTCACGTGCTGATCCAGCTCCACTTGTCACGAGGGTGGGAGAGGTGCTGCCTGTGCACAGAGTACAAGTATTTTTTCCTATTTGCAGAGTTTGAATTTACGCCTTTGCAAATGGAAGGGTGGCGTGCTGATCCAGCTCCACTTGTCACGAGGGTGGGAGAGGTGCTGCCTGCACACAGGGTACAAGTATTTTTTTCCTATTTGCAGAGTTTGAATTTATGCCTTTGCAAATGGGAGGGTGATAACATTACTGAGGTGCAGATTTGTGGATCTCCTTTAAATGTCTTCTCAGATGAAAACTCTGAAATGATGAGTTACACCACCAGTTTCATACACATGTGCCTCAACTTGTTTTTTTTTTTCCAATAAGTAACCTTACCTATGGAGGATTAGTTCAGGGTCCTCTCAGTTCCTGTCACTTGTGTATGAGTGTTTATTCACAGTGTCTTGAAAGGTTAATAGACCTCTGGAGATGGCCCCAAAATAAAATGTGAGCTTCCTCAGTGCCCAAGTTAAGCCTTTTAATTTGAATATTGGCTTCGTAAAGGCACAGTGGTGTTGTGAGACCTCACAGATGTTACAGTGATTTTCATACTGAGAGCCTTTTTCCTGAAGATTTATTCTTTTTGGATTTACTGAGCTGCAAATCAAAAATGAGTTTAAGTGATGTCTGTGCTTTTAACAGACAATTCTTTAGCTAGCTAGTTTTATTCTGTTTTTTTTCCTAAGTAACTGGAACTATTATGTTCCCTAAAAATGCAAGAAGCAGTTTTGCTAATTATATTCTGTTGAAATAATAATGCCTGTAACTGAAGGGAGCTAAAAAGATGGATTTTTTTTCCACAAATTGCATATATTTCTGAAGGTGAGTTGATATCAAATTTAATATCAAGTGGGCCCCAGAGACTCATGACTGGATATTTGAACAAGTTGCATGACCTTGCTCTTGATTAACACTGCTGCCATATTCAGCACTTCAACCACATCATGAGGAGCTTGGTCTGCCTGTAAAATAGGAATTTCCAGACTGAAAAGAAGGATTTTGAGTAAATTTTGTTTTTTAAATAGCTGTTTGTTTCTCATTCTGTCTCTTTTAGGGGCTATGTAATTTTTGTCCCAGCAGCCAGGGTTTTCCAGAAGTCATTCCCTGTACCTTCCACCACTTGGGAAGGGAATGCCACCTGGAAGCAAAGGGCTGGACTGGAGAGTACTGACAATGGCACTTTCAGAGGTGCCTGCATGATTTTTGGGGTTTTTTTATACAGAGAATAAAGAGCAGCAAAACCTGGGTGCAATTGCCTGCTGCTAGCCCAGCCCATCACTCCAGGCCAGTTCTGCCGTTCACAACTGATAGTAAATCCTCCCTCTCTCTCAGCCCTGTACTGCTCAGGGTTATGTCTCCATCCTTACCAGTAATTTTTGCTGTGGAAGCAAGTGTGAGGAGGCAGGATTGTTTGCACGGCAGGACCAATGGGAGCTGCAGGCTGGAGGTTTGCAGGCACCCCATCCCACCTTCCTGCACAGTGTGGAGGAGCAGCTGCCAAATGCACTGAGAGCTTCCCTCTGCTCTGTGCAGACTATTTATTAACTCTTTTTTGTTGAGTGGTGAATATTCAGCCTTTTGAATTCACGCAGTCAGTCCCTGGGTGGCTGTGGTATAAAACTGCCCTGCAGTGACAGTGATAGCAGAGCTGCAGAGAGGAGAGGAGGTGATGAATTTTATTTCCAGGCTTGCTAGTGGCTCAGTTATCCTGGGATGCCATCTCGCTCTCCGTGGCTGTTTCCTCAGGTGTAAAATGGAGCCATTACCCACCTGCTCTCCTCATGCTGAGTTTTGCACCCTTGCAAGTTGAAGCAGGCTCTCGTTGCTGTGCTGGCAGCCAGCACCAGCCTGTGGCAGCTGAGGGGATCTGAGTGACCTGGATTCATCAGCACATGGCATTTGGGAAGGGAATAAACTGCCTGCTCTCCTAGTGCCAGTTTGCTGCTACCACGTCCAAAAATGGCACAGATTCAGTGTCTGCCTGTCCCCAGCTCTGCGTGTTGCCCGTGCTGAGTGTGCCCAGGCTGGTCCCAGCCCCAGCCACGAGCTGGGCACTGATGGGTGTTGAGGTGCCAGAATCTCAGGCACTGGGCTGAGACAGCTGCATTTGCTGGCTTTGGAACACAGGATGATGCACTTGTCTTAACTGGAGTGTGTGCAGTGAGGTCAGAAGGGATCCTTTAACTTCATCCTCAGTTGAGAAACTCATTTGTGTGGTTCTCTTTTTTTTCTGAAAAGATTTGATCCAAGATGGCACAGGTGTTGGATGCACAGAGGTAACAGGTTGGAGGATAATGGACTCTAATTTTTGCTTGGAGCAAAGATTAATATTGTGTATAAACTGCAGGCACTGTGCTAATTGCTGTGTGTGACACCATGAACTGCAACTTCTCCCCACAGCACTTATGTCTTCATCACAGGCCTGCCTTTGCTTCAGTTTTGGTGTTGTTGGTTGTTTTTCAAAGTTTGAGACGTGCATGTATACACAAGTGAGTGGAGTTAATACATAAACTATTTTCACAGGTAATTTTTAGGCATCATAACTGGCCTGGACTTTCATCAAGATGAGTATTTTAAATAGGAGAAAAATCTCCATCCATGATCTAAATAAATACAAATGGCACTCCAAACTACAGTATATGTACATAGAGGATTAATTCTTTTCAGTGCACTGGGAGGCAGTAGTATCAATGTTCAATCCAAATAACTATTGGCAACAATTTTATGTTGTGTTTAGAAAATACAGATTTTTGTATTGTGACCAGGGCTGGGGGATATGTCACAAAGTAGGATTTTGCATTTGCATCTACTCTTTTTTCTTGAGAGATCGTCATTATTTAATACTTGTTACAGCAAATCACTGCAGATCTGCTGGCACTGTCAGGTATGATAAACTCAATGTGTGCATGATGCTGGGCTGTAGCAGGAAGCATCACATTCCAAAATCTCTGCAGGCATGTGCATCCTCCACCAAATGGCAGATATATGAAGACATGTGCTTTTAAAAAAGATTTTTATTTCAATTAGACAGTTAATGCAAAGTTGTCTACAGTTAGTGTGGAGAGAGCACAAATAATCCTGTGATGTAAACTAGGAATCCTTATCCCAGAAATGTTAGGTGATATGCTAGTGAAAGTTCTAAAAGATGTGTAATTAGTGGTTTTGCCTCCAGTGGAGTACCAGAGCTCCTGTCACAAACATACTTGATGTTCCAGATCCTACAAAAATTATTTTCTCCCAGTTACTGCATGGTCAGTGCATCCACCTGCTGTGCACTGGGCACTTGGTGCATTTAAATGCGTCTGGGTGCTGATCCCACAGGCACCCACGTGAAGTTTATTTGTTTTATTTTCTAGCAGAAAGGATTGCTGTAGTACAGAAGTGTTCACTGAGCAGTGCCTGGTCTGGAGCTGGCTCCACGTTTCCCCACACAGATCCAGGATGCCTGGCTGTCCCAGGTGCCACCCAGCTGGAGCTCGCTGTGTCGCGGCTCCGTCGGCCACCGGCATCCCACAGCCCAGAGGATGCTGCTGCCAGTCAGCAAGGCCTCTTTGCAGCTGAAGTGATTTAAATCACTGGTTGTGCTCATGATTCAAGTGATAAACAAGGAAATTTGAATTAAATAATTTGAACTTTTCCTAAGTGAGAGCTCATTGCCGTTGATTAGGAAGAGTAATACAAAACACATGGCTTGCAGCTAGTCACACACTTGTAAAATTTGGCATGGTTGTATATTAACCAGAAAGTGATACTGTATCTAACACAGCTGTGAAGCACTTAGTTAGCTCCAGAATCTTGTGGTTTGCTTTTTAAATTCTTTGGAAAAGGTTAATGACATTAAAGGAGAGTGGTTGTTTTTTGCTTGAGATTTCGCTCTTGTGAAACAAGGACAGAAATTAAAGGTCAACTAAAATGTGTAAAACTATGACTTGAAAATTGCAATTATATTTATAATATGTGCTTGACAGATTTAATAATGAAAAAGCATTTTCTGTCTTAAATTATGTTACCAGGTAAAGAATTATTAGGTGTGATTTTCTACTTTTCCTGTTCGACTTTTCAAGCCGCTTCACTCTGAGCAGTGGACGTTAGTAGTGTCAAATTGATTTTTAAACAGTCGGGGGTTTTTTAAAGAGTATTTAATCAATCATTAACAACTTTGGTTAAAATTCATGAGATTTTAAATATTCATAAATTCTCTTTGCCTTCCTGTGTGGGTCCAAGCCTGGCTGGCAGTGCTGCTGCTCCTGGCTCCCCGGGCAGGCTGGCAGCTCACAGAAGCACCAGCTCACAGGGCTCCAGCCATGCAGAATGTGCTGCTGCAGGCTCAGTCAGCATTGCTGTTGTTTTATCATAAAAGCTGATAAATCTCTGATAAAATGAAAAGGAAAGGAACCCTGGAAAACAAAATCATTCCTCTACCAGTAAAGTGCTTTTTTGAATGTTGAAAAGTTACAAGTGAAACAGAATAATCATTCTCAATTTGGAGCTTTGTAGGGCCATGGGGAAGGGTTTTAAAAGTACCTAATTTAGCATTGCACTTGCAAGTTGAGTGCCACAGTTTCATAGTTGCCTGTGTGTGCTTCAGTGGTCAGAGGAGTTGGGATGCAGTGCACATTTCCCCCGTGCTGAAGCTGTGTCTGGAGTTTGTCAGTGCAGGTGGCTTTGCCATCCTGCTGTGGTGTGGGGGAATGTGATGGCTCCTGGTGCTGGATCCTGAGCTCTTTGGGCTCCTTGGGGCACAGAACTGCATCTTATTTTTTAATTATTATAAGGCAACACCAGGAAATCCAGGAGGTTGTGTTCTGGGGGTGCTTCCTCTTCTTTAGGGCATCAGAAATTCAGTCTGGGGGCTTTGCTGACCTGTAGAGCCACCTATGGCAGGAAGGCCAGAGGCACTGGAGCATCCAACTGGCCCTTCCAGATCTGAATCCCAGCTAAAGGTCAACAGATCAGCTACCTCAAATGATTTAAAATGTTTAAGCTTGCGCATTGCATTGTCTCGTTTTTAATAATTTATCAACTAGCATGCTGTCACTGTGACACAAAGACTAAATGCTGATGGGCTTTTTTGTTGTTGATGATCTTAGGATTAGAAACAGAGGTTTTGCCTTTACTTCTTAACAAAAGAATGAATGAACAGATGGATATTTGCAGCCCTGAGCTTCACTATCCATTGATTTATCCACTTGGATGTATGTATACAGCTCCTGTTTCAACAGTAGCAGCTTCAGTCAAGATTCCTGAACAAATAGATAGCTATTTGTGGGGCCTTTGCCTTCATTCTACTTTTATTGTCTCCAGATTTACTTTATATGCTTACTGCCCCTGCTGCAGAGCAGCCAGGTATAGTTTTAACAGTGTTTTCTGGTGTAGTTAAGATAATGTAACAGAATTAAAGTTGTTTGTGGAATAGGTTTTTATGGAGGAAAATTCCTAACATTTAGACTACAATATTAGGTAGTACTACCTTGTTTTAGTAGATTCAACTGAAAAAATAGAACTTTTTAAAGGCGAAAAAAATCCAAAATTATTTTTCACTCAAGAAATGTACATTTTGCAAGAGAGTAAACAGCTTGAGGGATACTTCCCCTCCATGAGTTTGTTGTTATAGACAGACTCCATGGCCTCTGTAGGTGTTAAAATGCTAATCCTGTGTAATGGATAAGGAAAGTATTTGAAATGTTAAGGAAACCTGCCCCTTCTTTCCACCCAGCTGAGGATGGCATCGATATTGGCCTGTGAAATGAGAGCTGGGTTCAGCAAGTTACTGATAAGGGAGAACTGAAGCAAATGCTACTCTTTGACAGCTGTAATATGACAGTCCCATTGTCATTCCAATTTATTTTGAGTATGTATTTTACATGGTTCAGCACAGCTGTCTGTCCAGAAACCTGCAAGCCCCTGGAAAAATGTGGAAATTTGTGTAAGTCTTGCAAGGAGAAAACCACTCTTTCATTTTCTCCCACCTGAGGTCTTGCTGGGCTTTGCAAGTTTATTCCATCTTTCCTGAGCTAATTGTACTCTTAAATCACTTCATCTCTTTGATATTTGCAAATTTACTCCCCTCAATTTTAATTTCTTGGTGGTAGCTCTATTGTAGTACCATTGGTTTTGGATCCTGTCATAGTTCTGTCAATTACCTACTCATGATGTAATATTTTGGATGGGACAGAATATATTGAGTGGTACACTTGGTATAAAACATTATATAATGTAGCTTTTAAAAACCAAAAGCATGAACATGCATTTAACAACTCAGTAGAGCTTGCTTTGCAGTTCACTTCTACTGCTAAACTTGGCTTAAAGGTATGGTTGGTGGTGAATTTATTTTTATGGCATTTAAGAAAGGCTTAATCCTGATCTTTAACCTAGATGATTTTATAAGTATCACATTTGGTTCTTTTGGTCCTGAGTCTTCTCTGCTTTTCTGTGTGCTTTGCTTGGTCACACATTGAGGGTAAAACAAATCCCCTGCCTTGTGTGCAGATGAGGAGAAGAAGCATCTGAGGAAGGCTGGTGTTGAGGAGCAGGGTGTCAGGGTGCTGCTTCACCCACTGAGAGCAGAACAGGCAATGTCTGCACCAACACTGGAGTTTGGTTCTGTTTCTTTCCCCCCTCACTTCCCAGGCTGATTGACTGGTTTGCATCTAATGAAATTTTCATGCACATCCACAGAACAGTGGGATTCTGAGGAGAGAGATTAATATTTCAGTAATTGTACCATGCCTGTATGTCACTGGAGTCCTTGGTGCACCCACAGAGGAGCCCTGGCTGGAGGTAGCAGTTCACAGGAGTGTCAGCAGGAGGAAATCCAGCTGGGGGGTTTGGTGCTTTTGGCAAATTATGTGGATGGGGAAGGGAAGAAAGATTGCATGTGAATGTCCTTTCCTGGAAATAAATATTTTGAGGAATAGATGGGTACTGAGGTAGTTTAGCCTAGGGAGAATAAAGCCAGTTGTTTCTTGGGCTGTGGCAGTAACTTCAGGGTGCTGAATGTCACTTAGTGGTGCCAAAGAAAGGTACTCAAGGCTGGAGTGTGGCTGGGCAGTGTCACTGCTCTGTCTTTTCTTTTTGGGGGGTTCCCAGGTGCCCTGTGCCTTGTGCTTTCAATGTGCCTGCTCAAGGCTGGGCTCTGGGACGTTTCACCTTCCGCAGACTCACACATCCATTTCTCCTGTCCCTCCCTATTCCAGAGAACAGCCCATCTTCACCACCAGAGCCCATGTCTTCCAAATTGACCCCAGCACGAAGAAGAACTGGGTTCCTGCAAGCAAGCAGGCTGTAACTGTTTCCTACTTCTATGACAGCACGAGAAACAGCTATCGGATTATCAGTGTGGATGGAGCCAAGGTAGGAGCTGGGGCCCGGCGCGTGTCTGTGACAGTGTGGGACTGTCAGCCCTGCCTCAGCACACTCTGGGGCTGCATTAAATATTGCAAACACTCCATTTTGTATGTAATCCATCAGGGAGACTTGTAAACTGGAAAAACACAGGGCACCCTAAAAGTGATTTTTCCCAGCTTAGTTGATTTTATCTCGGATGAGTTTGACTTCATGGTAAGTGAGCTGAGAACCTTAAGTGTCCAAATTGAGTCAGTAGCATGGTATCTGAAACTGCCACCTATGTCAGGGTAGATAAGGCTGAGGTCTTTTTGGTGATAAAAATGTTCTTAAAAAACAAACAAACAAGGAGACAGATACATGCAGACTATAGGTTTTAATGTAAATGTCAGCTGCATTTTCACTTTTGCCTGGCTGAACTATTTACAGTTTAGTACTTAATTTTCTTAAGCTTTCACACTGGAGTTCATCAGCCTTAGGTGACAAGTTAGGCATGAAGGCTCTTCCCCCAACCTATTTCGTTAATTTGTTTTGCATTACCAGAGAGTGTGCTCAAGTATTTGCTGTAAGAATCCAAGTTGGTTGGTCTGAATAGGTTGCTCAGACAACTGTTTTTATTACAAACTGCATTTATTCCTCTGATTAGTCCCTCCAAAGTCACTTGATGGGTGACAACTTTCCCCTAGCAGACCCCAGTCAGAGGTATAAATAAAAACATTTTGCTCATGTACAAAAATCATTGGTCATTTCTGTCACAGCACAAGCCACAGGGTAACAAGATGAGTTTACAGCCTGTTTATCTGTGTTCCTGTTTGGATAAGGATGTTAAAATATCACTGTTCTGGGAGATAGAGATCACAGAAATCATCCCTTAATAAAGCTTTTCTATTTGTCATGCCTATTTCCCATACTTGTTTTTCCAAACATCTCCTGTGCTATATTTGGTTACATATTGGCTTATAAATCTGCCATCCTGCCTGCTTTAATTGATGGTAATGTTTCATTGACACCAGTACAGCATTACTATCTCCCCATCACAGATCTGTGCCAGTGAGTTATTCCCAGGAATGCTGCAGTGTGCAGCAGGCACACCCAGCCCCTGGGCCCTGCTGGGCAAGCTGAGCCCCCCAGATTTGCTGGTGCTGAGCCTGCTGCTGGTGGCCTGGTGGCTTTACAAGCCCTGGCAAGTGCAATTTCCAAGCCAGAGCTGCTGCACTCGCAGCAGTGCCTCGCTTGATTTGTGGCTGTGCATGCATGCATTAAGACCAATTAATGAAAACAAAGTAATTACTGTATGTGGCAGGGAGCTGCAGGGGCAGCGTGTGGCCACAGCCAGAGGTCCTGCCCAGAACTGCAAAGTGTGTGCACAGAGCAAGCTGGGCAGCCAAGCTTTGCTTTGTCACCTGCTCACAAGACACTCAGAAGGAACATTCCCCCCATTTTAACATGTCCCAGAGGAAGGTGAGCTTGCCATGATTAGAATTCTCCCCTGGGGCTTCCCAAGCAAGAATCAATTGCTGGCCACATAAATTATTCCTCTTGTATTGAATCTTTGCTGATTAAGGAACAGGTCAAGAATAGATGTTACCTTCATGCTCACCTCTGGAGAGTCCTGTGACCCTGCCTGTCCATTTTAAGGGTGCTAACTGGGGAAAAAACCCGGTGTTTATGCCAAAAGAAGTTAAAAGTTGCATTTTTCCCTTCAAACAACTATTGTTTAGTGTTTTGACCTACTTTTCCAGGCAAAAATGAAACTGGGTAGAACTGTAAGGAAGAATATAGACAGCTTCAGATGATGGTGCCCTGCTTTCTGTACATCTCATTAGAATAGTCTTCCATGTGTTGGCAAATACCAGATGGATTAATGTGACAGCATCACTGTGGGCATAAGTTATGTCTGCTTTAAGGACAAAAAAGCTGAAGCTGAATAAATTGGAGGGACTTGGCCCTAGAAGGAAGGCAGTGATGAAGAATGTGTATCTCTTTCAACTCTCCATCCTTCTCTGCTCTGCAAAGGGGCTGTTCTAACAGTTTATTTTAGACAAACATGTATCATTCACATTTGCTTGCAGAGGAATTAAATCCAACTTGTATGAAGATATTGGATTTATTTGGAGTTCTTTTTTTTTGCCTTATGTTGACATTACCTACTAATGATAAAAATATTTTGAAGAGATCAAGAATAGAGGGTGCTTCACTTACATATTGGTCATCACCTGGTTGCATAAGCTTGATTTTACTTGCAGCATTGAGCATGTTCCCCTGGGCAGTGTGGAGGAGCCTGGAGCTGCTGGAGCCCGTGAGCTCTGCTGTGGCAGCCAGGGCAGGCTGGGCAGTGTCACCCTGGAGAGTTCTTCCCTCCTGGTGCAGCACTGACCTGATGGGCTGTGATCCTGCAGGAGTGGTTCCTCAGGCTGCTGCTGCTGTCCTCAAAGGTCCAGACCCTGAGCAGTGCCCTGTCCTTCAGTCCCAGCAGGTGCAGCCTGTCCCTATCTCCTCCTTGTCCCCACAGCCCCGGCGTGCAGGGCAGAGGGGAGCAGAAGGATTTAGCAATGGGCTTAAGGGAACTGCTGAGCATGTGTGTTTAAGGGTGTTTAAGGTACCCACATTTGTTGGAAACTCAGTTTGTGAGCCTGGCTGGCAGAGGAGCTGCCTGGTTCAGAGCAACACTGCCTTTGTTTTACCCCTTGGGGAAGGGGAGGAGAGTCTGGGTGCTGCACATGGAGGTGGTGAGGAGAATGGAACAGAAAGAGAGCAGGGCAAAGATAGGAAGCAGAGTGAAGTCGAGGGAGTTTGACTCTTCCCTTGCAGAGGAGTGTTCAGGAATCCAGTATGCAGGCCAGCCAGGAGACAGCATATGCCTGCAGGTGCCAGGTTGCTTTCAGATTCTCCCATCCCAATAACAAATCCATTAAAATACCTGGGGAATGAAGCCCTGCTGCCTCTGGTTTCCAGAGAGGAAACCCTGGATTCAACACTGCTTGTACCACTTTAATTCCTCGTGTTTGCAAAGCTAAAGACAGCAGCTCTTCTAATTCCTGTGTCTTTCACAGAAAAACAGGTGCTGTGGACAGGAGCTTACAATTTATAGCAGAAGATTTCACAGATGCCATATGAGAATGTGCTGTGATCTTAACCAAGATGCCATGACCAAACAAGGAATAGATCAGTATATCTTTTAATTGCCTTATAATTGACTTGTATGTTGTTAAGCAAGTAATTTCATCCTGTTTTAAGAAGTTTCTAGCTAGAGGCTAACTGCAGCATAATGAATGCTGGAGGAAATGATACAGTAAAATGCAAGGGCACACACTGATTCAGAGTTAATGAGGCAGCCAGGAGACTTCACCATATGAAAGTGCCCAGTGCTGTGGGCAAAAGTCAGCCCTGTTGAAAGAAGACAAAATATGGTGATGATGCAGGGAGAGCACGAACTGTAAGTGCCCAATTGCTGTGCAGTGTGTGGGGAAAGCCACACACAGGGCTTCTCATTAAAAGTGACCTGCACTGGCTTGCCTTTTGGAGGCAAAAAGGAAGTTTGGCAGTATGAAAATTATGCAGACCAATAGCCTCTGTCATCCTCAGGAATAATGCATGGTAGTACCCTGGTTGGTGGGTTTATTTATTTTTTATAAACTGAAATTACCTGTTATCCAAACAGTATAGAGAAGAGGGAAAGGAATTTGAGATGGAAATATAATCCCTTAGAAACAAGCCTCTGCCCTCTTCTCAGATGTTCTTGTTGTATTTCTGTAAAACTTGGGATTGCAGCAACATCATTTTTCTCTTTTGAGAAAGGAGCTGTTAATAAGGAACATAAAGCTAGCTTAAAAATTAATAGCCAGCAATAAAGTGCATAGTGAGACATACTGAGCTGGCAGCAGCAAAGAGAAGTGACACAGCAAGAGTCATCACAGATTCCAGTCCCCAGTTGTCTCTGAGAGATGATTAAACAGATGACTAGAAAAAAATTAAAATCAGGCTTTAAAAAATTACTACATTGCGAGAGTGATTGTGAGAAATACATGATAAAGAAATAAAGACGGTGTTTCAGAGGAAAAAGCCAGTCAGCTGACACTCATTCCCAGTTACTAGTTCATTTAAGAGTTTATTACCTGATAATTACCTCGAATATTGGAGATCAGCAGCTAAGTTGGGCATAAGTGTGTGAAAGTATTGAAGAGAGAACCAGAAAAATTGCAGTGCTGGGAAAGCAAAATCAGTGGGTCTGTTTCTGAAGTAAATTGCAATTAGTAAGGATAAGAATATGGGCCAAATTTTGCCAATCAGTATTCACATGGTGCTCCCCAAAGTGAATACAGTACATTATATGGTGTGATGAAGCTGTTTGATCAAGTGGCATCTAGCAGGGGACAGTGTGATTTACTGAGGACAATGCAGCTGGCAGGGACACAGCCCCAGCAGCCTGTGGCAGCAGATATTTAGGGAGGTAAGAAGGGCTGCTATGTAAATCTGCTAATATTTGATGTATTCCTGGCTTTCCCAGTTCCTGTCCCAGGGAACTAATTGCTACCTAATGTAATAGCTGCCCACCTCTTTATAACCACACTTTTCTTGTCACGACTGGAGGCAGGTGTCCTCAGCACACAAAGAGGAAATTGAGTTCTTCCAGTGATGTGTTCAGAGGCTCAAAACAGATCTTTTTCTTTGCCCATGGAAAAGGAATTATTTTAAGGCATAGTTGTTAAAAATATCCTAGAGTATTTTGCCAAAAGGTGACTCTTAGATTTCAGAATCTTTTCTTTCAGAAGAAAACAATTACAGGGTATGGTACCACAGATGAAATTCCTTTATCTGACTAGATATTTTCATTCTTCTTTTTTCTTCCATTGACGTAAATTCAGCCATTAAACCAACAGCAACTCTTTCACAGGAAAAAAAAACCTACCAAGTAATTTATATATTACAAAATTTTTGGCACTGAATTATAAAAGGCTTCTGGCAGTGTGTACCTCACCAGGGGTCTGCGTTGGTGTGGCAGCATTTAA